TGGATTATTCTCTAAGTCTTTCCAAATCTGCATGAAGCTGGGACTAGTTGGAGTGCCGGCGAATGAAATAGATTGTCGCAAAGTGTAATCCGGATTTTTACTCCTTATCAGTGTTTCTGCCGGTTAAATCGCCAGGCAGTTTTCCATAGGAATCAGCAATGAGAATTATTACCTTCTCTTCAAGGCATAAAGTTTGAAAGACAGCGCAATCAAGTTGATTTATATACTCGAATTGAAGTTTCAATGAGGATGCGGTTGGCTGTTCGCACCGCAACGTTGCCTGCAAATTAATGCGACAAGTCCAGGTATTCATCTGAAACCTTCACCGCAAAGTTCGCAAATCCCTCAAAATAATTAATCTATCCGTCTGGAGTGGCATGTTATAAATTAATTCGACATTATGTTCAACTTGCTTCATATAGCTGCTACATGGAATAGTGTTCTGTCGATGTTTTATCGATGAAATACCAAAACCCTATTTTCCAAAGTTTTCTTACCGGAAAATTAGCAGGATCTAAGGCGCGGTTTTACCAGCTGTTAATATGAAAAGCTCTAGTTTAATAGTTATAGAACTTTCCGTCTTGTTCCATTTTTCTGATAATTTTGAGCATTTTTTAATTAGAAGCCTGCCAATGTGCCCAGTTGATTTTAACATGCCGCGCCCCATTTCTCATATTAATTAGCACAAAACTAACAAAACCAAAAGCTTGCATTTGACTGCTATAAATAGAGAGATCTTCATTTTCTCTGCCTTAAAAGTTTGAGCTTTGAGGGCATTTTTCACGAATTTTGGCAATTTTGTGGATTCGAAAGTCTTTATTCGGCAACGCTGTTTGCAATCTTCAATTTCTAGAAAATTGGTGGAGATGCGCCAACATCTAGAGGGTTGCGAAAATTGGGTTATTTACTGTTTTGACAATGAAGATTACAGTTTTTTGCTCTGAATTCAGCTGCTGGGAATAATTTGGTTTGATACCAGTCTCTCAAGTTTTGAAGCCAAAATGTTTTTCTTCTTCCTTGAACTTTCTTCCATTATCTGCTTTGGTAGCGCGTATTTGGGCCCTCTTATTCATCATCATCATTTTTAGCGTGTCTCGGTCCAATCTTGTCCAAGTTCCACACTTCTCCAAGTTATCTCCATCCGGTTCTGTCAGTTGTTCCACTCAACCATTTTACTCCCGGTACTTTCTGAATATCGTACTGGTACTTCCACCAAGTCTTTGGTCTTCCTGGGTTTCTTCTGCATCCTCTTGGTCGCCATTTGGTCACTTTCCATTCATTGCCACTTCAATCTTGCCACGTGTTCAGCAATGTCAATTACTTTGTTTTTTGTTTTGTTCCATACTTCTTTGTGCAAGTCTTAGTGTGTCCATTAATTTGCCGTTTAGTATCATGTTTCTGCGGCATAGGTAGGTTGGTAGTACACATTGGTTGAGGAAGTGGGTTTTCCGATGTTGTGGAAATTTTGTCTTAAGTACGTTATCGAATTAATTTTTGAAATCAATTAAAATCGATTATTTTGTCTTAAATATGTCCAAAATATTCCAGTTTCTCTTCGGATTTTTTCAACACAGTTCCACGTTTATAATTCCGTCAGTCCATGTAATTTTTTATATACGCCGATATCAACATCTTTTCAATGCCTCAAGTTTATCCATATACATTTTTTCAGAGCCCAAGGCTCTGTATCACAGAGCAAAGTTAAATCGTAGCATCTTAGCATTCTTAGACTAAGTTTAAAATGTATGTCTTGGCTGCAGAAAAAAAATGAAATATTGACAAATGCTTTTTATTCGCGATCTTGTTTCTGGTGTTTCGTACAGAGTTTCGTTTATTCAGGTGCCCAGACCTTTCGACCCTCTCTATGTGTGAACTATCGATTATGAGATTTCCTTGGACATTTATAACAAGGACCCGGACCGAAACGAAATAACTGTTCCGTTCCGGTTTCGGTCCAAGGCAAAATTTAAAATTTCGGTTCTGTTACGGTTTCGGTTAAGAAAATAATTTCCAATTCGGTTCCGTTCCGGTTCCAAAATCTATATATAACAACGAACGAGGACAAAGATACTCTAATTAGGAATATCACTATCTTTTTCCTTGCTTGTTGTWTTATACGAGATAAAAGATGCGCAAACTATCCACTGCTTCATACGGYACTTCGGCTGGTTGTATGGTAGGGGGTAGGAGTGTAGGAGGACTAGCAACCCCACACAAGGACTGAAATTCARGTAACATTAAAWGGAACAATATTGCAATAAAGRCTCYCAAAATACAAAAATTAATTTAATMGTTGTATTTTTGAAAAGTAATTTGTCAATRAACTTTCTGACTAGCGCTTTTCTCTTCTTTCCGTTTTCACTCAGGTCCACAACTTCGTCAATTCCTCTTCTTTCACTCTTATGTACGTTTAAACATTGTTCTTCCTGGTTCATGTCTTCACCATCTTTTGAAGAGTTGCTTTTGTCCAACATTTCAATTTCAAATGTTTCTTTGTTGGTGATCGAAAAATTGACATAATTCAACTTAAAAAATAATTTTAAAAATAGTGTATAAACGTACGGTGTTTGTTCTTTTCGATTGAAAAGTCGGTTGGTCCTCACAAATAATTGTTCCTCTAAAAATTTTTCTTTAATATTTGACCTCGAAGGCGGCAACAAAAATTTGAGTCCTGAGAATAACCTCTCAACACTAACTTGAGTTGCCGGTACGCTTGATAATACTTGAGCAAGCATGTATAACTCGGGATTAAGCTCTTTCTTTTTCTTCCAGAAATCAAAAATCGTTTCATTTTTCCGTAAGCGTATGCGGCTTTGTTCCGCTTTATAGGAATTTCAAATGTTTTCAATTTTGTTAAGGGCTACAAATGAACCTTGTGAAGAAAATTCGTGCTGATTAATTCTTTTTTAAAATTTTCGCTGTGAATCATTATGTCTCAAAAAGACTTCCATTTCATCGCTTGATGAATTAGATGAATCAGTTTCCATATCGTGTTGGAACTGATTATAACTACCTTATACCGAGGGTCCAAAAATATCCCAGCAAGGATTATTTTTCTAAACCGAAATAAAATATTTTGGTTCCGGTTCAGCACCTAACAGTGTGTTAATATCACATATGGGTTCCGTTACGGTTCCGATCCAAAAAAAACGGTTCCGTTCCGGTTTTGGGTCCATATCGGTTCCGGTCCGGGTCCCTGATTTGTATCCATAAAGTCGATGGAAGAAACTGAAAGCAAGACAAAGCACAACCACTTATGATAGAAAAAAGATCAATGCATCAGAAGTAAGAACAAGAACAACTCAGGCCTGTTAACAGCCTCTGTTTTAACGCTTTATAAATAACAGTTTTTGTACAACATGTTTTAATTGTCAATTGATGTTTGTAGTTTGTTAAAAATTTTAAATCTGATGATGCCGCTGTTGTCTCGCCGAAACGTGATGAAATAAACGATATTCAAATTTTTTCCTTCACACTTTGACTGAGACCCGGGAAATATAAGAATATCATTAGATACTGACAATTTGTGGATAATCTGAATTGCTGAGGACTTTTTTACTTTACCATTGATTTTTGACCATTATTTTGAATGTTGATTTCTGTTCAACTGTACTATCGATTTGGAAGACATTTGTTCAATTGGCAAGATTTCTAAGAACTTTCCTATATGATTCAAATGCGTCTTTAATAAAATATTAACACGGTGCTTGTAAATCTGCTGATTTTCCAGGTGGTTTCCAAATTTTAGTTTACAAAAATCTTTTCCTATTTTTACCATATTTAAAGTGGTCGTGGTGCGCGTTACCACATTACGTTCCGTAATGGCAAAACTCCTTCCATTTTCCCTTCGTGGAGATTAATGGAGTTTGAAGTGGGCATTATGCCTCGCAAGTTGGAGGATTGCGTTTCCACATATTTTCGTGATGTCGGCTGCGGCAAATATTCCCGGGTTTGAATTTGTACGTATTTTGTCCCCGAATTCAAGTACTACAGCTTGTTTGAGCACCGTAATAATATATCTATCTTGTATCCGTGGTGGTGGTGGTGGTGTTGGCAATGGAAATATCTCTGTCATGTTTTAATCGAAACAGAACATTCGCAGGATTTGCCGTAATAAAATATTCAACACAGAACGATAAGCCTCCAGGTGCGATTAATTATTCGCAAAAGTGGAGCTCATTGGATAACGATTTCTCCAAAATCTGAAAGCTCGTTAGAGAAATGCTTAATGGGTTTCGCAAGCGGGGCTTTAGCAAATACAACCTCGTTAAAAACCTTTGGAAAATAATTATCAAAGGGCTTTGTTCAGTTGATTCACCGTTGTCTAATAAACTGATGCCGATCGATTAGTGCAATCTTTACACTCTACAACTTTAACTCAATAATATGTTCGTCTAACCCCGCTTCACTCAATTTCGAGCGCAGCCAAGTAAATAAAAGCCCTCTAATTCAATATTGTGTTGTAACTTTGTTGGCTTTTAGTGAAACTTTCGGAGCCCAGAACCGAAACTTTTCCATATTTGCATTATGATGTATTAAATTTGATATTATGGACTTGTCGTTACGTGATGTCCTAAGCGAATATTTATTGCATTTTTATGGGGCATCGTAAAATTCTGCGCGAATGCCTAACCGCATTCCAGATAGAGGGCCATCATAGGAATTCATCTAAGAGCAAAAATGTTAACTATATCGCATCTACTGTACATGGATGTTGCGTTTAATTTATTGAACAAAAAGTGCCAAAGCAGGTTTTTCACGTTTTCAGTTTTCTCAGTTAATTAAGGTCTGATCATAATTTGTGTGATACTTTAGTCAACGTTTACTTACAATAAATAAGTTAGTGGGATTTTTAGTTCTTAAATAAGTTTTTTATTATTAAAGGAGTATGGTGTTTAATCCAGCCATATAAATATCGCATTGATTTACATACTTCATATTGGAACTATTGATAATAAAAGCAATTGATACAAAAGACGCATCAAATATAATATTTTTTGAACAAGTTTCGAACACAAACTAATCGGATGTCAAGCATCGAAAAACGGGACAATCTTCCGTAATGAGTAAGTAGGTTTTCTGCCTGTTCTAACATGGAACTTTGTTATTATCCTCACATTAACCATACACCCTAAAACAATAAATATGTAATATTATTTGCTTGCATTCAAAATATTTCAACAAATTCATTTTCAATTCATCAACAAACTTTGATGATGATTCAAACAAATTTTGATCGAAATCCTTACATCAAAGCATTGCATTCCAAAAGCATGCTATATTTCTAATATTTGTACAAGTATATACAATTTCCAGACAATTTCCTATTCTATGAATATGAACACTACCTGCACATAAAAAAATAAGTAATAACTTTCGTAAATGCAATGTAGCT